ACGTCACATACAGTATACGCATCGAGAAGGGGTTCTCTGCAGACCAAAAGTGGGCGTTTCTGGTGAATAGGCGTTTATGGGCGGCGAACACTGATTGGCTAACAGTATTTAATAGGCGTTTGTCGGCGGCGAACACTGATTGGCTGTGGGTAACCCTCAAAGTCACGAGTCATTGATGAGGTAACGTTTCTTTGCGATGTTTGACAAAGAAATATGGTTTATTGTACTTATAAAGTATGTTATGTTTCCACTTATGCATTTTATTGAAGTACGTTTATTGTAGGTCACGATAGTTTCGACCGTTCTCTCGTTGTTGTCGTAACGCACTGAGGTAACGTGAGCCTCCACTCGGCTCCTTTTCAAAATAAAAGCTGAAAATAAAAGTTCTTAATACTTGAAAAATAAATATTTAAAAGCTGTGTATAACTGAAAAATATGAAAAACAAATAAATAAAAGTTGTTATTAGCTGAAAAATAAATAAATAAAAGCTGTTAATTATATCTATGTCTTTCTGCCATGTCAGGGACCACTCTCACTTCAGACTGACTCTAGAAGACCCCAAGATGTTGCCCAACAATGTTGCCCAACATCTGATGTTGACTTTCATTACTCAATAATGAGTAATAACTTATTCAATAAAAAGTCTGTAATTTGTCAATAATAGTCAATAATTCATTCAAGAATAGATTATGGGTGTTTGGTATGGCTCAGTGGCTAAAATGGGTTGGATGTTAGAGAAATTACTTAATTTTCAATTACCTGAATGCACAAATTCCTTCATTTATAGTTAAACTTTAGGAAATCAACTTTTTTTTTCTTGTGAAAAAAATATCAAAATTAACTTTAAAATCCAATCCAGGATTAAGTAACAACTAGCAACACCCTAACTGTACTATGTTCTGTGTTTCCAACAGATGCTACGATGACTTCTAAAAATGGATGTCCCAATAAAGACAATAAAAAAAATTCAATGATGCATCAAATGTTGTCTGAGTATGTTTGAAGGTAATAACAAATGTGAAATCTGGAAAACAAAGAAAATTCCTGAATCTGTCTTGTGTGCTTTGATGTGTACATAAGTTTATTGGAGGTCCTGAAACAACTTTTCTGAGAACACAAAGATTTTTATTTTACCTTTGGCCAAGATGTCAGTTTGAAATCAGGCTGCTTACTGCAAAACCAAGAGTTTTTTTAAGACGGTCTTCATTTGTATTGTTTTGTCGACTAAGCTAAATGTAATTTCTAAAATATGGATAAATCTGATCTCATCATGCAGCATAAGCAACTGGGTACAGGTGTGAGGGCCAAAAGTCTGGTTATGTACTGACTCCTAAATGTGCTTGTTTTCTACTGAAACATGGAGTAGGGTTGACCTTTAAAATGTGAGACAGCTGAGGAAGTTAACCAGTAAACAGAATACCTGCTCCAGTTGCAGAAATCTTACAGAAACTGAGAATCACTCATCTGTAGTAACTGCAGGTTGAACAAGAAAATGTGAAGTTAAAGGAAACATTCTTTGTCCCAAGGCCAGTTTAAGTATCATTTATATTTTTCTTTCTTTATGAATCGATTGTAACTTTGTTCACATTTTTCAACAACCAAAATGGAATTTGTTTTTTAATGTTATGGCTAGGCATTAAAAAAAACTAACATTTAGCTCTCCCACTACCCAGTTATGTTGCTCTTATTTTGAAATGTAACCGGAAGTTCTGTGTTAAGAGAGTCGAAAAAAGAAGTTATGGAGACGCCGCGGCAGTATACTGGAGCAATGTCGAACCGAGACGCCGCCAGTGTTGAACCTGAGACGCCGCTAATGTCGAACCGGTTAATACCATAGACATAATATGCCTGTGGTTAACACAATCTGCCAATAACGCCTTGTTTTTAGACATAATGTGTCTGTGGTTACAGCATTTTATCGTTCAGCCTTTTTTTCTATCATCCAATCAGATGTGGCCGGCCAGACACGCCCATTTTTCTATCGTCCAATCAAATATGGCCGGCCAGACACGCCCATTTTTCTATCTTCCAATCAGATGCGGCCGGCCAGACACGCCTATTTTCATATAGTCCAATCAGATATGACCGCCCAGATACGCCCATTTTCCTATAGTCCAATCAGATGTGATCGCCCAGATACGCCTTCCGAATTTGGCTGCAGAGATACCTACTTGTACGCATCCCAGAAGCAGCATAAAAAAACACACAGTAGGTGGCAGCATTGGAACACGTTTTGAGTAAGAGCGTTATTTAATAACGATAAAGTTTAACAAACATTCATTTTACCAGTAAAAATGCAGTAAACCCTGCTTTATCGTGTTAGAGTTCAGATAATATAATGACTCATTTAGTTTCGGATTGGTCATTTGCTGACACGCCTACTGGATTGATTGACGGGTCGTGTTGTGGATCCGACTCGTGGAGAAAAAAATGACAGCTGTAAAAAAAAAATATATATATATATATATATATATATATATATATATCGTACGACTTTATTCTTGTAATATTAAGACTTTATTCGACTTCGAGAACATCTGTGCAGGCTTATCAGAACTGCTGGCTGAACATCATCATCAGAAATGTGGTCTATCTGAAAGTGCATGGACAAATCTCACCGTCTTGACGTCAAATGTTTATGTAATGTTTTTAAATGTGCTTTGCTGGTAGTTTTTTTTAATGTCTCAAATTGTGTCCTGACAGGACAAGATGTGAAGAGATCTTTTGTAATACCACTATCCATCCTCACAGTTCTTACCCTTTTTCTATCTAAAAGTATTCTGAAAAGGATAAGAGGCCGCGCTCTTAAAGAGCAGCAGCTACGTGCACTCTGCCCATCTTTTGGATGACTGTATGGACATGTTCTCACTGTATCTCGGTACAATAATAAAGCTTATTCTGACTTTATTCTCGTAATTTTATGGCTTTTATTTTTGTTTTTTAATGTGGCCCTAAAGCTCCATCGGAGCACTGTTTGTGGGTTTCATTAAAAATATTTTCCACCACATGGCAGGTACGAGTGCAGGCTTTTCACTGAGTGTCACCTTGTAAGAACCGATAAGCTGTTTTTATTGTTCTTGGACGCTTTATGTTTAATTGATTCTTTCTGGGGAAAACAGATTAATTTTTAACGCTAAAAATGACATTTGTTCTCAAACTCATTTCAGATCATAACAGTAGGACTATATTTGCGATCGCTTTGTCAAGAGACGTTTCTGCTTTAAACTGCTGGAGAACATCTTTTGAATCTGATGGCCAAAAGCAGAATATGTATAAGGAACTGAATTAGTTTTTGCTTTCTTAGTGGTTACAGTGTTCCCCCAAAAATACATTTTGTAATAACATGACTGCATGTACCCAAGCCTCACTGGAACACGAACACAGAAGTGTAATCCGTGTCTCATTAGCCTGTTCATTGTTGTTATTCCATGTATAACGAGATGCACGTACACAACAGGGAGGAGAGCAGGCAAAGAAACCAGAATGTTGGGGGTACCATAATTAGTTTTACAATTATTTATTGTAAAAACTAAGCTTATTATCTTTTAGAGCTCATGTGTAGAACAGAAAAAACAACATCCAGGCTCCATCTTAAGGGTCTGCGAAGTATTTTTCTAGAGGATCGTGAAAACTGGGGTGAGTTCTGGCTCTGATAATTCCAAAAGTATCCTAATGAAACACGCTAAATAATAAAACAAGGACAAGAAAAAAACATCCATCAATTATCTTTACACGCTTTCCTTTTGGGTCGCCGAGGTCGTTGGTGCCCCGGTCCACTGTGCGAGAGGCGGGGTACACCCTGAAGCTCCAGTCCATCACAGGGACACAGAGACAAACGAGACAAACAACCATTCACTCTCTCACTCACACCTAGAGACAATTTAGAGTTACCAATCAGCCCAACATGCATGTTTTTGGTCAGTGGGAGGAAACCAGAGTACCCGGAGAAAACCCATGCATGCACGGAGAGAACATGCAAACTCCACCCAGAAAGGTCCCTGGACCAGGATTTGAACTGGGACAACCTGCTCACTGACAGGCAGCAGCTCTACAAACTACGCCACCGTGCTGCCAATAGGCCTGTCACGATAACACATTTTGCTGGGCGATTGTCTAAGAAATTATTGAGATAAAACGATATTGTTTGAAATTTGACAATAATTAGTAATTGTCAAATTTAAGAATGTTGTTTAATTTTTATGTAGTATCTTTTTTGACCACTGGATGGCAACTGAAGGATGGACAGTGAGGGAGCGAGCAGCGTGTCTCTTAAAGAAAAATGGGATGGAGGCCCCTTGACGTGACATGGGCTGTCTCTCCTTCCTGTTTTTTGGTTCTCAAAATGGCAGACACTCGGCGTGGTTTGAGCTCTTTAGCAAAGCGTTTTTCACACAAAGCTTTTAATTAAAAAAAAATCAGAAAACAAGTTTTCAGCTTCTTTTTGCAAAGAAAAACAACTTTTTACATAAAGACACAAGTTTCAACCGTGAATTTTGGAGTTTCGAAAAGAGAGAGGTCCCCCCCCCCCCACCCCGAGGTTGGCCTGTTAGCTTAGCTCGTAGATTAGCTTCTCAGCTTAGCTGCTTTTAACGATCCAAAAACATGACTTTGGCCGGTTAAAATATGGATTTTAAAGAGAAAGAAAGTGTCAGTGAAGAGCACCGGAGTTGAGCCTTTGTCAACCAGTGTCTTCAGTAGAGACACAAAGAAACGATAAAGCCGATAAATGAAAAGATTAATTTTAATTTAGCATGTGATTGATTTGTTTGTTTATTGCAACAAGCCTAGACATGATTTAACCTTTTTTATTGTTATCTATCTGGATGATTGAGCTTACAACCCTTTTTTCTTTAAACTATGTTTCAGAACAGTAAACAACAAGTCATATATAACAGCTCTCTTAGGTCAGTACATTTTGTTAAGTTTATTAGACAAAATGTGTGTTGGTTTTCCATTTGAAGACATCTTACTTTAAATATGGCATGCTATTTACTAATTATTTACAGTTAAAATAAAAATCTTTATTGGCAGAGTTGCCCAGAGAAAGCAAACACTTTGCACACAGAACAAGAACCATCTTCAAACAACTGTCTTGGTTGCAGTGAAGAGCTGGAGTTTGAACCTCATGTCATTTCTGCAGCTTTTTTTCTAGATCTGCTATTCTCATTCGATTTGAAACCAGAAGGTCCTTTGGAAGTAAAATGAGTCAATTGTTCCTTTTTGCTCCGTTAAAGCTGAGAGAACAGCTGAGCAGCGTTATCAACGTTTACTGGTTCCTTCGGTGGCTCTTTGACAACCTAAAGAGTCAAAACACATGCAATAATGTTTGAAAAAAAATAATGGAGTATGAAACTGAGTTTTCTCTTCTACCTGTGTTTGTTTCTTTGATTCAGGAGGAACAGACTTGGACACGTTCTTCACATCGTTCTGGACTTCTGTAAACATCTGATTCAGCTTCTCCACCTTGTCCTTTTTCACTGCATTAATCTGTCAAGACACAAATGATGCTAAAGTGAATCCAAACAGAGTTTTGCATCACACGTTGTGTTTGAAGAGAAGGTTAATGCATTCAGAATTCAGGAGAAAAATGTCAAAATGAAAAACAGAATCTTACATTTCTGAGAGCTGTTGTGACAGGTTTGGTTTTGGTCTTAATCTTCAAATGCTTGTTTGCCACTTGGAAGACGTTCTTCTGTTTTTTGCCTTTCTGCTTGTTCTTTGCCATGTTACCTGAAGGAAGGAAAGAGGGGAAATGTTTTCACTTTCACTATAAATACAAACAAAGCAAAAGAGTCCTGAGGTACATGCTATAAACAAGATTAATGTCTTGGTCAAAGTTCTCACTGACTGTGAATCTTTTTAGTTGATCACAACAGTAGCAGGTACTATGGAGTACAGTAGTCCCTTGTTTATCGTAGGGGTTTCCGTTCTCAGCCCCCCGGCAATAAGTGAAAAAACCTCAAAGTAGGAATAGTACAAGTATCAACGTTCATGCTCAATCATCCAGGCACCAAATCCAATTATTGATTTGGTGCCTGGATGATTGAGCGTGAACTTTGATGTCTTGAACCACTTTGGCTGTGGCTGCCTGCCTGGGAGGAGTCGACGGGGGACAGGACAGACTAGGGCTGGGCCATATCATACCGTTCACGATAATATCGGTAAAAAAAAGCTTGCCCGGGAAAAAAAATGATATCATGATATGCTAATTTCATGACGTAATGCGCCAGGACGCCCCGCCCCATTAACAGAACCGAGCGCGCTGCACGACCAAACCGAACTGCGCACGCCACCCCCCCCCCCTCCACCTGTCAGTACTGGTGTAATGCTAATTAGCTGCGCGCAATACTAGCTAGCTAAAATGCTAAAAACAAACAACGCACAGCTCAGCTGTCTCTCCATCCAGCTCTAAACTGCAGGTACAGACAGCTCAACTGTCTCTCCCTTCCCCCGCTCTAAGCTGCCACTCGTCTTTTTTTTCTCTCCCCACCCCACTCTGAGCTGCCAGTGCGTATAGGTGCGGGCTACGTCTCCCCCACTTTAAACTGCCTGTAGAAGCATGCGCAGCTCAGCTGTCTCTTGAATTCCACAATCCATGGACCAAGTACAGAGTCAGGTGATGAAAGACAGCATCAGAGAAATGAATCATTCCTGCAGGAACAGAGGAAGCTGAAACACCACAAGCTTCAGGGTCAGCTGATCACCTTGTTACAAGTTCTGGAAGTTATAGCTCATTTAAAGGCAACATATATTTTGTTGTAGGTTACATTTATGCTCAACAGATCTTAATTTTATTTAGTTATTTTGGGAAACTGCACCTGCACTTTAGTGTTTGTGGTGGATTTATTGATCTATATTTTGTGCAGACTTTTTCAATCTAAATAAAAGAAGGATCATTTTTATTTTTATACTTGGAGACTGAATACTTTACTAAATAAAGTAATTTCAGTAAAATTACCCCTTGTTTTTATAAAATTTATGTAATACTTCAAAACAACATGTTAAGTTAATTTTGTCAAATAACTATGATTTCTGTTTTTTTTTTAATATCACAAAATTTATCGTTATCGTCAGAATGCTCTGAAATATCACAATATTATATTTGAGCCATATCGCCCACCCCTAGGACAGCCCCCAGAAACCATCTTATCTCCAGCAAAGTGGTTGGTCCACTTAAGGAGTGTACTGCTTAGTGGGGAAACCGTTGACTTGGGACTCCTCAGACTGAAGAAGCCCTCTGGATAGAGGGCAAAACATCTCTACAAAAAAGAAACTGTCCAGATGACCGGACTGAGCATTATTGGAGTACAAGTGGTAGTTTATTTAAATATATAAACAATACTTCTAAACTATAAATGCTCTAAAAGAGCATGTCATGATCTCAGCTCTCTCTGCCATGGCTGCTCTCTGTGATTTGCCAGCGTTCTTGGCCACGCCCACTTCTCCACTGAAGAGCGGAGATCATGACATGATGCAGGACGGAGCTTCTCCCTGCACATGTGGGCTGCACACAGGTGCTAAATAATTTAAAATCTTTATTTGAAATTTTAAAAAAATCCATGCCAATCATGTGGCTCATCCATCAATCAGCCAATTGTGTGTCATGTCCAATCTTACTTTGAAAAACTGCGAAAGAGCGAGTCCGCGAAAGTCAAACCATGAAGTAGCGAGGGACTACTGTACTTCTAAGATTAACTATCACACAGTGGACATATGTACTGAGTTCAAACATATTATAGTTCTACATGTTTTCGGTAAACATCGGGACAATCCAGTCTAACAAGACTGACATGTAGCAGCATTGGGACAGAAAAAACAAACTGAGAATGTAGAGCAACAGTTGCTGCCTTCAAGCTCACACCATCCCCATGGATGTTCATGTATTTTTCAACAAAACATGGCAACAGCACATTCTGCTAAGATTTGCAAATAGAAGAACATGAAACTGCAATATCCTTGTTAAATATGCCAGCTTCTAACATCCCAACACATAAAACACCCCATGAACTGGCTGTGGGCGCTTAAAGGAATTCATCTGATGGCCAAATAAACCCTTTTGACCCGAATAATTGTGTTTGTGATTAATTGGAATCCTTTGTTTGGAAATTTTATATTGCGCACTTTGATCCTTCCTTGACAATATTTTGTGGGCTTCCCTCCTGCCTTCCTGTCCTGTTCCTCAAATAATTTTAAAGCAAAAAGAAAGTGACAACCACTACTTTTCTACATCAAGACAAGTTTGAAGAATGAATGAGAACAACAACAAACAAAAAGAAATAAACTGTTTGGTAACCCGAATGTTGACAACACTGCTACAAAGTTGTACAAAAATCAATACTAATACCAAACATGAAATGTATCTTAACTCAAAACCTTTCACAACCACATGAAAGTTGGGAGAAAATGTCACTTCGTTTTGTTTTACTTTAAGATATATAAATAAACTCCGAACAAACATTAATGTTTTTGAAAAATGCTTCATAAGTTAAAGTTTCATAAAATAAAATTGAAACGGTCACATTTTTAAGTAAAAGTATACAGACCTTTGATATAAGAAGTGGTTTCTATCCTCGTGAGCAACAAACGTATGCGTGCACAGCTTCGAAGATGTCGCGTTCAATAGATGTCACATCCGGTCTGACGAGACGCGCCGTTCTGGCCGCCATCTTGCTCAGGTCTCCCATCAAGTCATTGCATTTGTTTGGCTGTTTTGTCAGATGGTACATGTAGTAAATGTCAAATTTCTGCTGCATTCAAGTGTCATTTAATTTGAGCATATTTTCATAATTAAGATATAAGCTAAAAGACATTAAGTAGGTTCTTTTTTTTTTTTTTTGGCTGCTTCCTTCCTCAGGGATTGCCACAGCAAACTAACTCTAACAAAGACTTGGAAATTGTTTTTACACTGGATGCTTGTTCTGATGCAAACACAGACCACTGAGCTACCACAGCCCTCTGTGTGTCATCTATGGCACCCAGGGTAAGTCGATGGTGGGAGTAGCTCTTAAGGGCCTTGCTCACAGACCCAGAGTGGGGCAAATGAGGGTGGAGGCAGATGTGGGTGCTTCACCTTTCCCACCTACATTTTGACATTGTCGGTCTGGGGGTGTCGAACCCGCGACCTTCCAATCGCAAGCTCACCTTCTCTAACCTCTGCGCCTGCCTGAGCTCTGTCACTTACAGCAACTATTTACTATGAAGTTCTTAATTTATCCTGATGCATGCTCAATAATCCAGGTAGAAAGATCTAAAAAAGTTAAATCTGATCCTCAGGACATTAAAAAAAAAATGATTGAATGATGATGATGAAATGATGAAAAAAAAATTGAATGTCCAGAGGACCAGATTTAAGTTCTTAATTATTGATGGAAATACATTAAGGTATTCAAACTAATCAGGGTTTTGTTGTTAGGTTACACTTTGCTTAAAGGACACAATAATGTGACTTTTGACCTCGACGTCTTGTAGTTTCGTTCATCAACAGCAGGTGGCGCGACTACACCATAATATCAGTTTTCTCTGTAGGCAGAAGGAGCTTCATCCAGCAAAACGCAGCAAGCATTAAATATGTCATGCTGCAATGAGCTGCGGTGACCGCTGGGCCACGAATACCCCGCAAGGACTCTGAAGGTTTTGGAAAAGACGTGATGTTGTCCTAATAATCAGTGAATGAATGCAAATGTCTAAAACATGCTTCCTTGTGCGCATTTAGAGGACAGCTGCAAATACTTGCTCAGTGACGAGTTTTTCATTTGAACATTTTGATCTTGAGCTGTGACTGAAGTGAAATATGTCATTTTAAGAGCCATAAATAATAAATAAAGCAGGAATGTGGTATTTGTGTTTTCTAGTTGACATGATCTAATTTCTCTTGATTGACAAAGCTACCACTCTGAGCTGCATCTTTTTCAGCTGATTTTCATCTCAATATTCATTTTATATCATATTTATGTATTTTTTGGTGTGTGTGTGTGTGTGTGGGGGGGGGGGGGGGGGGGGTTCTATAACTATTAGGGCTAAATGAAATCTGGCCACCTCACACCGCCATCATTTTTTGCGTCTGTTGAGCAAATGGGCGAAAACTGGCAACGCGCATCTTGCAATGCCGCCTGTTAATTGGAGCATTGCGACCCGCACGGAGCGCAGGACTTTGACTGATTCTCTGCCAAACTCCTCCCGATCACTGAGGGCGGACATCATGTGTCGGACACCAGCCTGACGCGCACGGGGCGCCGTATATAAGCGCGGCAGCTGTCAGGTGGAGGACACTGGCTGCTCCGCGCTTTAGGAGATCACAGCTCTGCATAGATCCTGACAAGCAAACAAAAAAAAAATGTCTTCCTGTTGGGGATACGAAGCGTGTAACGGTGAGACGTTCACTGACACACGACGTGTGATCGCAGAGCTGCTGCATCACTGCATAACCACGGAGCGCTGCAGACATTTTATGCGCATTTGTGGTTTTACGCACGCATCCCTGGATGAATGCGCCTTTCGTTGCAATCAAGCATACATGAGCCCTCCAGTGATTTTCTCTTAATTTTGTGATTTCCAGGGCCAGACCAGTGGGTTCAGCAGTTCCCCGTTGCAAACGGACACCGTCAATCTCCCATTGACATCGTGCCGTCCGAAGCATCCTTCGACCCGAAGCTGAAGGCGCTCAGTCTGCAGTACGACCCCAAAACCTCCCTGGACATCCTCAACAACGGACATTCCTTCCAAGTGACCTTCGCAGATGACACCAACAGCTCAAGTGAGTGTTTCTGCAGCTCTCACAGAAATATAATAATGTTCTGCTACAGGATGCCTTTAGACTATGCTTTGAACAAATCTGTTTCTTTTTCTTTGAAATGTATTTTTAATGATTGACAACACACTTACAGAGAGAGGGGGGTGTTTATTCAGTGGACAGCAGGGATCCCATTGAAAAAAGGTGCACAAAGCATGCAAATTGTAATTGAATTGGTAATGTAGCCCCTGGTGACTGTTTCCCACGACAACTCTTTTATGTTGAAAGAAGAAAAAAAAGCTCCAGATAAAAAGAAAAAAACTTGAAATGAGTTTGTTTTTCCTCTTGAACTAAAATGGGTTTTGCTTCTTTAATCTTTCTCTCCATTCTTATTAATATCTGACTGTATTCTCATTCAGACATATTTCATTCCAGTTCACTGTGATTGTTACATAACGAAGACAATAAAGAATTGCTTTTAGTGGGAACTGAGTAACTCACATCATAAGCACTTTAAGTCATGCTAAATAAAGAAGCTGTCTGCAGGACATGACCATGCATCATGTTTGCTCAGTGGAAAAGATGAATGTTTTGTTGCTATAAAAAAAAAAAAAAAGAGAGAGACTTTTAAGGTCTATACTTTACATTTTCTTTTTTTTTCATTGCTGATGCTACTTATAGTCTCATGTCCTGTGTGTCATATGTGATAAATGCAACAGAGATAAAGCGATATAAGTAATTACCTGTTATTGTTCTCACCACTTTGTGACTATTTATAGCTCATGCAACGACCAAGGGAGGTAAAAAGTCCTTGGTTGTTTATTTTGACCTGGTTTTACGCAAGAGGAAATAAAATGAAATCATGCAGGAAGTGTTCATCCTATTTGTGTTGCTCTTGATCTTTGTTGCTCAAAATGACATTTCCTTTGTGTCTTTTAAGCTGCGCTGTAATCAAAGCGTCCCTCCGCTGACATGCTGAGCGTAGGCTGAACTGACTGCAGGTTCTTCTGCATGTTTTCCAGTTCTAACAAATGGACCGATCTCAGGCATCTACAGGCTCAAGCAGTTTCATCTTCACTGGGGTGCTAGTGATGAGAAGGGCTCCGAACATACTGTGGCTGGGAAAAAATACCCCGCCGAGGTAGGGATGCTCTGAAGTATTTCAACTATAATACTCTGACTGCAAGTTCATGACTAACTTTACCTATTTTGGGACAAAAGGATACACTTTTGGCTATCACTATTTGACCAAAAGTGTTGAAAATGAAAAAGTTATCAATTCCAACCAGTTCCCCAGATGATTTCATGGCCTGACATTTAATTTTTATTCAGGTGTTTTATTTCCTAACATGATTTATAGCTTACCTCCACCACGATCCGATCCAGCTGTTCTTGGCTTCCTGTTTTATTTGTATTGAAGGTGATTATCTTTAGAGAGGGGGTGAAACTGGTTTAGAAACAATATGTGGCAACTTTTCTGAGGCATTAGTTAGGTTTTTTGCTCCTAAATTAACAAGACCTCTATCTTGACTTGACAGGAAGACAGCATTTTAGTTGCTCTTTTCTCAATTTTGATTACAATCATTTAGATTAATACACATTAAAGCACAAATTTTATAACATATTTTTAAGCTATTAATTTGTTTTTTCTATCCCGTACTCCATATCATCAACAAATATATTGAAACCGCAGGGTCTTTGTGTTTCTCAAATCAGGACCATGTAAAAATGTTTTTATGTCATTGTTTCCAGCTCCATCTGGTGCACTGGAACACCAAATATGGAAGCTTCAACGAAGCTGCCAGTAAACCCGACGGCCTCGCTGTTGTTGGCGTCTTCTTGACCGTAAGCAGCAACTGGAGCATAGTTTCTGTGTGGCATCGAAGCATTAATAAATAATAATTCCATCGGCAATGTATGACCTTTTGTTGTCTTTCAGATTGGTGCTAACAATGCAAACCTCCAGAAACTCATTGATTCATTTGCTGCAATAAAGACCAAAGTATGTACCCGTGCCACCTGCATTCTATTCTGTTGCATGCATGATAAGAATTTAAACAATATATTTGACACGTTGTGTTGTTTTCAGGGCAAGCAGACTTCTTTTGCTAACTTCAACCCTGCTACTTTGCTACCTGGTTGCCTTGACTACTGGACTTATGATGGTTCTCTGACTACACCGCCCCTCTTGGAGAGTGTGACCTGGATAGTCTGCAAAGAGCCAATCAGCATCAGCTCTGAACAGGTATTCTCTACTTTCAGTCAATTCTTCATAGCACAGACTGGCTGCGTTCCCAGAGAAAAGTCCTGTGTGCAAATTCTAATTTAAATCCAAGTCAAGGGCCTAATTGTTGGAGGTAACATTGCTGCTGAAGTGAGACAAAGAAGCTGCTTGTAATGGGACGAAATGCAGTACAGGTCCCCCATTTTACTTTCAAAGAATCGAGAAAGAAAAGTCATTAAGAGTTCACTTGGACGCTTTTGGCTTCCAGCAGTTTCAATGAGTCAGCAGGAACTATTCAACCCACACATCCATCAAAGGCTGCAAGCAATGAGACTTGGCTGCAGTCAGTGTGTGATTCTGCAACTTTCAAAGTAAACATCATACCTGCACGTGTTATCATGCCTGGAACAAAATGCCGTAATTAAAATGGGCATTTAACTGATGACTGGAATTAAACATAAACAACCAGTAAGCGGGTTTGTCCTGGCTAACAGCTTTTAGTCATGTGAAAATGAACCCTGCATGTGCAGGTCTTAATTTTATGGCTGTGATTGAGTATTTGTAAAGTAAACATGTAGGAGGTGCAGACACAACCTTTAGACCTGGTGCTAGCTCAGTCTGGGTCAGCAGTTTCAGACACAGCATTGATTTCCCATTTTAAGCAGTTCATCGTGAGGAACTGCATCCGTCATATGAATTCTTTATGTTTTCGTTAATAAGCTCAACTCTACTGTACAAAGTGCATTAGACACACGTGGCTCAAGCTTTGTAATGATCCTGTTGGTGAATTAATCATTAGTCGGGGTTAATGGTAAATCTCTTAAATAGGTCATCTGACAACATCCTGTGAGTGGCTGTCCTTGGTATGCCTTACTAAAATGATTAGTTTTAAAATGTACAGTATTACTGTGATTCGCCAAATTTAAAATAATAATGTGAAGCTACTAATGTAATATTGAACCTAATTTAATTGAGCTCGTTAGCGTAAATAAAATAAAATAAACAAATAAATAAAAAACACAAAGAATCAGACGATTTACCACAGTGCTAACACAAATGAATCTATTTCAACACCCAGAACTGAAATTTTAATTTTTGTTGTTTCTTACACTGCAATGTCAGCCAGTTATTGCATTTTTTTTTAAAAAAACATTTTGTTTGCTTGTTTGTTTTGATTTTGATCTCTTACCATCGGGGAGGCGTTACAGGAGCCTCCACTCCCACACCGACAGACTCTGAAAGAGCTTTTGTCTCAAGGCTGTAACATTATTGAACTCATCAGTCACTTTCATAACATCACCTTAAATACACATACTTTGTTCTTAATGTTGAAATATTCATCATATCTGTGTATTTTGTACAGTCTAATACTGCACTACATGCATTGTATTATTTCACAATACATATTTCACTTTCATTCACTCTGTATATTCGGGTATATACATATATGCATCTCTAAACACATATACTGTATTCTTATCCAACATTTATACTGTAAATAATAACTCCACTGGCCTCTGTTCTCCATACTCATTCCGAGCACTTTTTCTGTAAATTATTGGTAGTAATACTGTATTTTGCACTTCTGGTTAGATGCTAACTGCATTTCATTATACCTGTACTCTGCACAACGACAATACAGTTGATTTGAATCTAATCTAATTTTAAGGAAATCAAGTCAGAAGAAGACACTCCAACATCTGATTAGCTTAGATGCTAGCAACTTAAACACTTAATGAGGTATCTCACTGGGTTGGGCTTGTTGGAGACTAGATGACAAAGAGATTGACATTTATCTTTAATTTTTTGACTTGTGATTTGTGAGTATTTGCAATAAGTGACCAACAAGCCACATTTTAAATGGTTAGAGTGAAAATCACAGACTAGTTTTCTGTGCACAGCTTACAAAACAATTCAGTTTTGTCAAGAATTCACTTGGCTGTGTGAATAATTTTGTTGTCCACTATCAGCCACCCTAAAATTTATTATTTAATTCACTAGAGTAGACTTTTAAAGGAATATGAGCAGATTAGATATTTTAATAATCATTAATTATCATCAGGGTGGTTTGTAGACCCCTGTGCAGGAGTCAAAATACAACTTTAGTTCTCATGAGAGATGCTTCAATCAGCTCTGCAACTATTTTGACAGAAAATACTTTGCATAAACATTTGTCAGTTAAAACTCAACAACAGGAGTGTGTATACCTCTGCAGCTTACTCAAGGAAGTTGAGAGCCACTCCAAAACAGCAAAACAGTTTGGAGATTTGACCATTTGAACCATGTTTGTCAACTCATCCCAGCTCATTGAGATCAGAATCAAAATAAGCTTTATTATTATAGTACCAAAATACAGTGAAATTATACATACGAAACATCTTTATCATAAAATAATAAAATATTAATCACTACAGTTTGATGTTTTAACCAAAACTGTGGCATGTTAATCTCACCAATACAAAAAGTCGAAGAAACAATTTTAGTATAAAAAAATGTTGGCATTATACGCATGATTTTAACCATTTTGTCACATAACTGGCATATGTTCTTTTAAACTTGGCGGGGTCAAAGTGAAACAGGAAGTGACATCAAAGGAGGAACTCCCTATTTTTTTTAACTGAAACAAGATTTTAACTTTAACTCATCTTCGTCTCTCTCTGATATGAATAATCAAAAGTAATATCAGATTCTTCTCTACTGTCGTTAGCCATCGTAGCTATGCTTCGTTTACACGCAGACATTCCCCTTTGACATCACTTCCTGTTACTGCTCATGCAAACATCTCAACAACCGTTCTTCTCTCTCTCTCTATATATATATATATATTTTTTTTTTTTATTAATTAATTTATTTTTTACAATACATCATTAATGTTATCTTTCCAAACATGCCTTCATATTTTTAAATAATTTGATGTCACAGGCCCTTTAAAACTGCGTTTTCCACCAAAAATTGTGTTATTGAGAATTGTAAACACGTTGGTAGCTGGATTTTCTGAATGGATTATACACTAAAACTATTTGTTTTTAACAAATTACAAAATAGCTGTATATTTGTTATATAGATTTGTACCATTACTCTTGTTTCTCCTGGCTAGAAAGTGAATTTGTCTAAATACCAGTAAACTAATTTTGTCGCCAGTGGATTTCTCTAAATTATTCATTCATTCAACCTTTATTTAAACAGGTTAATCCCATTGAGCCTCGGGGACTCATTTACAAGAGAGACCTGCTTTTAACAAACAGTGATGACAACAGTGGGCAACAAAGACAATAATAATCACAAAAGATGCGTACAAATTGAGAATTGTTTTAACAAGTTAAAATAAAATGGTATTTAAAAGAAAAAGTAACAACAACAACAACAACAAAAAGCTAGGTTGTAGGTTGTAGGGCGATGTAGAAAACTAAAAACAAGAACATGTCTGCATTGGTTTTTCCCAGGAACTTAACGGTTGTTTAAAGCCACTTAGAGTGGTCAAGGTTTATTAAAATTAACATCAGTATTAGTATATTTGTGTTTTGTGAAAGAGACTCACAGGAAGCCTGCACTCACTGCCATCCTCTCCTCTCGTTTCACAGATGGCCAGTTTCCGCACCCTCCTCTTCTCTGCCGATGGTGAGGCCGAGCAAAGCATGGTGGACAACTACCGTCCTCCTCAGCCGCTCAGGGGTCGCCTTGTCCGTGCTTCCTTCCAGTAGTGACCCATCCCCCTCTTTTGACCTTTATAGACCAGTTGCCCTCTCCTTCCCTTCCCCCTCAGAATAATCTCTTTTACAGCAAACCACGAAGCACACGTTTCTGTCCACATTCAAAATAAGCTACGTTACTGTCTAATTTAGCACCATTTGCACGCCGTGTGTGTAATATGCAAGCAATCATCAGTCATAGTTCATTTGAAAGATAAATAATGGGGACTGCGTTAGACAGCAGTTAACGGTGCTATGGCTGAACCGAAAGCACAAGCAGTACAGTTGCAGTACACAGGGGAAGATTAAGCTATATTATCATTTGTGAATGGTGGTGGTGGTGGTGGGGGGGGGGGGGGGTGTAAGGTGCCAGTAGTGTACAAACATGGACACACAGGACACTCCTGCTGCCAGCCTGTCTGTAATCTCTGACCGACTGCCTGCCTCTGCACCACAGCAGCTTAATAAAAAGCTTCAGCTGCCTTTATAGCAAGAGATTGACTCCGACCCCCACCACCACCACCACCACCACCACCACCACCACCAATACACATCCACAAAATGCCCATGGCACTGACCTGCTTATTGATCCAACATATACAGCAGTGGAAGGGCATCCGGACAGACCGAATCATGATGGTGACTTACATTTCTGCCTCTACACTCGAATCTCTGTTTTTATATTATGAACTGCCTTTAAAACCTGAGTCTTAAGTGATTCCTAAATGATACAAAAGCTTCCATTCCTCTCGTAGTCCTGATAATATAGTAGAGTACCATTTTTTAAATAAAGTTAAATATTTAAATCAAAATGCGTTCAGTGCTAAAGCTTATAATGCACAACATTCTTACGGGCACCGCCATAGTGGCTGAGGCACAAAGCCATAAAAATATAAATATAATATTTATACTCTTTTGGAGGGGCAAGCAAAATAACATCCTGCTGAATTCAGATGTCTTCTGTGGGACACTGAGTAAAAAGAGACTCCTGAGACATCTGAGTGTAGCATTTCAGATGAGATGTTTCTCCAGAAAGATTATATTTTGAAAATATAAACACATGTACGTATAATATATTTTTTAAAATGCCTTTTGCAAATCAATACTGGGGCTGTAGGAGTTTATTATTCTATTGTATTTTGTGTGTGGACATGTAATGACTGAATAAATGTATTTTATGATTAACCTGTGCCCTCATGTTTGTGTGTTTACTCTTGTTTTTTCTGAATTTTTCCAAGTCATAACTCACATATTATTCCAATCTTTTAGACTACAAGTCTTTTATTATTATTATTATTATTATTATTATTATTATCACCTTAAATATGAAACACAAAAAACAAAAATAAGATGGAGTTTAGACTAATGTGCAAGATAGTTTCCTATATTTTGTTTTGGCACTTTTAGCCAAATGATTTGACAAAATAACCACAAGATCTTATTGAACCTGAAAATAAATTGTGTTTCTGAACAGCTGCGTTTAAAATTTAGACTTGATGGATGTGAATGGAGACACGCTTTGAGCCTTCAATGGGTTTATGATGTTTTGATGTTCAGTGGAAGGATTATTTTTGAACTTCCTGTGTATATTTCTACATATAAACAGTATTGTCTGATGTTATGTTGATTTAAATCATTAGGTAGTGACATAAGTGAACACAAAAAAGTACCCATAAAATTGAGTTTTAATGGTAGCAAGATTAGCTTAAAATATCAAGGCTAAAAAAACTTAAAACATATCTAAATTTTAATAACTAATTTGCCATTATTCTCCAGTATATGCTAAGGTATGGTAACCAATCTCAGTGTATCAAAGCAGTGGTTTAGATCTTTTGAAGTGAAAGTCTGTGGAAAAGTTATAAATGATTGATACCTTTTCATTCATTCATTCAAAACATGAATAATGTCAAACTCTGCTAAAAGAACATAGCTCCCTATGCAATGTGTGACGTCAGCAAGTACCTGGATTCAGGGCAAAAAGAACTTGGAGTACATTATACAATTACCGCTGTAGTCATGGTTTGCACCAATAAAAAAAACAGCAGAAAAATAGTATCTAAGAAGTTTTGTTACGGTACTGGCAAAAGTGATGACCAATATGCTGACAAGCCTAATATGTAAGGTATTTGGTTCTTTCTGTTTCCAAAGCCGATCACTCTGAGGGAGAAATGTGGATGGATTTGACTCTGCGGCCGAGTTGGCTTTGCCCAGTCAAATGTAAATAAAAATACTTACTGGGGTACATCTAAGTGGCAGGATAATACTTTGTATTTATAAAATACTAGAGATTTAAAGAACATTTTCCCTTTTGAAAAACAAAGTAAAATTACTGATCGCTAACAGCTAACGGCTAACACTGGCTAACAAAGTAAAATGAAAGAAACAGCTAGCAAAACCATTCGTCATCCTGCCGCCAAAAACCTGTGCAGCCAGCGCTTGAGCTGTGTATTGATCTATGCTTCAATGTATTCCAAGTCAATTTTGGCCCTGAAGACATCATTTTCCTTTAAGTTGACATGGACAATGACATTGGATGTAGCCATTTTGCATTCAGTCTGCCGCATTGTTTATCACTGCGACATCCAGGACTTTGGAGATTCCCCACAATTCTTGTGACGTCATCCCTGATCAACACTAGTCTCAGTTTAACCAAACTCGTGTCATTTAGGGGCCGTTTACACGGCACGTATTTTGAGTGCATCCGCAGCTTTCTCTCTGCGGTTCTGCTGATCATTTACACGACACCAGTGGCCCCCCTCTTTGAATCCGGAGGTTTCTGAACCCACCTTCCAGAGTGGAGGTTTTTCGCTGACCACCCGCTGATAATGTAAACATCTCTCGCTGAGGCTTTGTGTTAAACCACATGCGCGCACGCACGCGCGGACAGACGCAATATTTCTATCAACATGGCGGCGGACACAGTGCTTTCAGAATGACTGATGGAATATATTTTTAATCTCGTAGTTAATCTACGTCAGATTCCAGGTGCTGTGACCAACATCTGTGTTGGAAGATTTACCTGCTGTAAAACAGCTACTGATTATCACGGAGTAAAGTCCGACATCGTCGACTCGGTTCTGGTCCACTCAGCGACCGGTGTGGAGCTGTTAGACGAAGCGGTCCTGCTTGGTGTCAAATCTGTCGACTCTTATCCAAAATCCAGCTTTAACTTCTTGTTACGTTGTTGTTAGCTGAGCTGTTTAGCTCACAGGAAAGGCGCGTGCCACATGTGCATTAGGTAAAGGTACAAAATTCACAGCGCCATCTAATGACCCGGCATGGTAACTACAGCGGATTCGGGAGAGCGGGGGGGTGGGGATTCCTTCGGATGCATGTAAACCCAAAATCCGACCGTGTCAACGCGGATCTTTTCCTCTAATTAACATACGAAAAAACCTACGTTTCCCCCCATCGTGTCCGTGTAAATAGGGCCTTAAAGAGGTGCCCCAACAGGTAAGATACTATTTGCTCACAATGAACACGAAGCACATTTTCCTCATATTAGTTATTACTGTGTATCATGCTTAATGGTCTGTAGTTGCTTTAGTAAACTAATATCTGTCCATTGAAGAAGAGCAAAAAGCACAGAAAGAAAAACGTGTAGCATTCATTAAAGTATAGAAACTGAAAATGCAAAATAGAAACATTTGAATTTGAGCATAACTTTAATAAAAAAATAAAAAAACTACTTTGTACTTTTTCATGTTTTAGGCCATGTTCTACAAGATCTAGTAGTTGTAATCTTAGAAGAAAAAAAAGTGAACATTTGACAAGCAGGTATAAAAGTACATATTTTTACTATATCCTGATGCATGCTCAATAATCCAGGTTGAAAAATCTAACAAGGTTAAGTCAAGTCATCTGGAGTCTTCTTTGTTGAAATGTCAGTCTGACTTCTTCAGTTTGAAACCCTGCAAGAAAACTCAGTCTTATAAATAGCTCCTTGTCATAGTGGACCAACCAGTTTGCTGCTGACAGCCAGAACTATGCTCACATGCAAAAGTAGGATTATCAGCCTCACAATAGATCGTTAGAGCCACAACAGCCCCAAGGGTCATCAGTGCCCAGATAGCCACTTACTATTCACAAGGGGTTGAGTGATGCTAGCAATAACAGTAAAGGCTCCAGTATACTGCCGCGTATGTGTAAGGATGTTAGTTTTCTGTGGCCCGGTGTGTCTGTTTCCCTCGTGCTCCTCATTAGTTCCATTGTTGCCACCTGTGTCTCGTCCCAGCTGTTTGTCATCATGTCTCGTCTTCTCCTTGTATTTAAGTCTCCCTATTCTGTCTTGTCCTTGGTCGGGTCGTCTTGGTTGGGTGTGCTTCCTTGGGTCTCCTGGGTCTCTCCTTTTCTTCCTGGTTCCTCGAGTTCCTCGTGTCTCCTGAGTTCCCCGTGCCTCCCTCCTTGTTTATGTGGGTTTTGCTGCCCCGTCAGCATATTTGTTTTGTACTTTTTATTTGTCATTGAGTACCTGTTTTTGTGTATCTGCCGAGTTGGGTCCCTGTTCTGCACTCTGGGTTCACTCCAACCACAAATCCTAACAGTATGTCCGTTCACGCGTACGTACGCGTGTACTGTACGCAGAGGGTTCAAACATTATACTCCAGCGTACACCCAGAGCAGCTGCAGAGCAGCTTCACAGACAAGGGGTGTTTACCTTCGGGACAAATTGAGGTCGCCGATTGGTCATTTGCTGACACGCCTACTGGATTGATTGAAAGAGTGACCGCTGGTATGATGGCCACAGAGTCCTGGCCAGATGATGTTGCTCTTCTGTGCTGGGACATCCTTTTGGCCAGTGGCTGCTAAGTTTCCCCAGTGTATAACTGATCTTGCTGGTATGATGGCCACAGAGTCCTGGCCTGATGATGTTGCTCTTCTGTGCTGGGACATCCTTTTGGCCAGTGGCTGCTAAGTTTCCCCAGTGTATAACTGATCGTATCTTTGAATACTTTCTCTCAATTAACTGGAGCTGCTTCTCAATGCTGTAATTTCACTTCAAACTCTTTCTTGTAATTTAACTTTCTCAAGTGAAAATTCAGAACTATTAAAGAGGACATGCCTGCAAACATATATGAAAAATGGTTTATTCATCATTATCATGTATGCAGATGCTACTGCTTTGTGTAATGAAGATTTTAATCAGCAAAGTTATTTCACACACTGTAAAAATCAGACCAACTCATAACTCCTCACCTCACTTGCAAACACTCAGTAAGATGAGCTCCTGAATGTTTTTTCTTCTTACTAACAAGACATACTATGTGTTTTTTTCTTCTTACTAATAAGGCGTGTGACTGTTTGTGCAGGATCAGTAGGCTTAATCACACCAAGCCCAGAATGGGGCTGAACGTTGTACTCCAAAGTGATGACAGCCTAACCTTATGCACTCTTAAGATGTCCATTCAAAAATGAGCTACTGACTGCTGTAGTGGGTTTTTTTTTTTTCAACCTTTATTTATACAGGTTAGTTCCCATTGAGCCTCGGGGCCTCTTTACAAGAGAGACCTGTTCTTATCTATAAGCCAGACTTAACTTTTGTACTATATTAACACATAAATCTAGAAGAAAGCGTGCGTGGAGTCGCATGTGATTTGTACTGGGGCCATGTGAAACATTCATTCAGTAGCCCAAACCAGTTTTTCCTGAACGACACACAAATAAAATCAGTTAAATTCAACAAACTAGTTTGTTGGTACAAGTGATCATTTAATCACCCTTTTTATGTTTTAGTGTTTTTACCGGAAAATGATCGGCTTTCTACGGGTTTCTTGTTACTATTGCTACACCTGTCCGACAGGTTTTACCATTACTACTTGAACATGTTTTTACCTGGAATTGACCCACTCAGCTATGGTTTTCTTGTTACTATTGCCACACCTTTCCAACATGTTTCATCATTGCTAAAATGTTTTTTTTTTCTTCCTGGAATTGCCATCTCTGGTTTGGCTTTCTTGTTATTAAGGATGCACTTGTCCAACAGGTTTTACTATTACTACTAAAATGTGTTAAAAACATAAATTAGGATATATTAGTTTAGGCTAAACATGGGAAAACTTGCTTTAATGACAGCTACAGAGAAGTATTCTGATATTTTGAAACTTGGATTATCTGTCTAATAAAAAAAAGTTTTAGTCCTGTCATGATTCAAATATTCTATTATATACAACAGTCCAGTT